ATATATACACACATATATAATTCTTGTCATTTTAGGATAATTTATACTTCGAATATATTTGATGCTCATCAAAAAAAACTACCAAAGAGGAAGGATTCTGAAAGACCTGCATGGGTGTTTCCTAGAGATTATGGCATAACTAATCGTAGAAAAATGTTAGTGAGTTAAAAAAGATTTAAATATTATTTTTATTCAGCAAAAATGTACACAAAAATTTACACACTTATTTTTTGAATATTTTTGCAGGCAGAATTTATCTAGGAAATTTTTACAACTTTGCGAGTCCTTGTCAGGTCCAGAAATCGCACAGACACGATGTATATTGTATAATGGAATCACAAAATTAAACTTAGGTAGTTTAGCTATAGATAATTAAATATTGCAATATTTTAATATTGCATTCAACTTTATTCAAATAACATAAAAATGTTTCCTAGATAAGGAATCAGACCTTATTCAATTTACCCTAAGCTCAGATGTGACAGTCATGTCGGCAAATCCTTTAAAACCAATAGAAAATTCTAACAGCAATATGGAAATAGATCTTCCGAATATGCAGCCACTGCATCACACCATTGGTTTGACCGAGACAAACTTCTACAAAACTGAGGATATGTATCGTAAGTTTAATGCCTATTATTTCCAATATATATATATTACAATATATTTCTAATGTCAAGTATATTAATAACAGCTGTCAGTCCAACTATACCTTGGATAAACGTCCACACTATTTTTGTACATTACGATCCCTTTCATGTGAGAAATAAGACGGAATTATCTGTGACACAGAGTCAGATTTTCAGTCGCACTTTAATAAAAACGTATACTATGGCGGCGTCCTGTGCACGGCAAAAGTTTGGCTCATCCGTGAAGAAACTGCCAGAACCCGTGACTGTGCAATGCATTCAATCAGATGGAAAGAATTATCACTTTTTCGTATTTCAACTCAATTCGTTAGACACCAATGACGTCAGTGTAAAGAATTTCTGGTATCCTTTATCGCCGTTAACGCTTTATGAAAAAGCTGAATACGATAATGGTAGACCAGTAGTCGAAGGATACAATCCGGAGGTATTCAGAAGAATACTTGCACTTTACAGGAATGGAAATTAAATAAAATCTGTAAAGTTAAATTAAATAAAATTGTTAAAGGATTTTCTAATCTTTTCTATGAAGAATATTTTTATTTATACCAATAACATACTATTAATATACATCATGCCAGTCATCGTTATACAATGCTTAGAAGATTTTCGAAAAGCGTGCTAGGTTGCACATTCGGATTGATTTCTTTCGATTTTACGCGGAGGCGATGATCCAGTGATGGTTTTATCAAATTCTTCATAGAAGGATATGGTTTGGAGTAAAAGTATGTGTGACACAACGCCTGCAATAATAATTTCGTATTTTTGTTATGTCTATATCTTCTTTTGCTTTTTCTTTAATAAAATGTAAGTTATAGAAGAACAGTACAAAAATAATAGTCACTAATAAAAAAATCGAGGATAATAGGGATCCTATAACTCTGTGTTATATACCTCATTATCTGTATGTCATTATATAATTTTGTATATTACCTGTTCAGCTGTGAGACGTTTTGACGAATTATAAATCAAAATTTGCCTGATTAGATCGATAGCTTCCGGCTGAGCATCTTGAATAATATTTTCCCATGACGTGCTTTTGTGATAAGGAAAGGTGATTTTGTTGTAATCTGGTAACGAAGTTAATTCGGGCCAGGATTCGGATGTAGGAGAACCCAAATACTTCAGAACAATGGCCAATTGTTCGATGTCAGTTTCACCCTGCAATTACAAGTAACAGGATACTGCTATATAAATTAATAATTTATTTCAATAAAAAAGGAATTATTTACTGGAAATAATGGGGAAGTGTTCAACATTTCACCAAATATGCAACCAATCGACCAAATATCGATCGCAGACGTGTAATAACGTGCTCCATAGAGCAGTTCGGGTGCTCGGTACCACCGTGTAGCAACTTGATGTGAATACGGCTTTGTACCATCCTTCCACATCAATCTGCTCAAGCCAAAATCCGCGATTTTCAGAATACCCTTCTCACTGATCAACAAGTTCGCAGGTTTCAAATCCTAAAATGCGATTCCAAACTTTTCAACGTTGTAAGTGTAAAAGATTCGGATTACATACATCTGAATCTGAATTATTTTTAAATAAAAAGTTGTATACCCTGTGCATTATATTTTTACCATGCACGTACGCTATGCCCTCCAACAACATTTTCATGTACGTTTTAATTTGTGCTAGCGTCAAAGATATCTCAAAATCTCTTAATACTTCCCACAGACCTGTTGGCATGTATTCAAACACCATTATGAAGTCTAAACCATTTGGGAAAGCATCTAGTAGTTCCACGACCTGCAAACAAATAGTAATGCATGCAAATTCCGTTGAATTAATTCAGAAAATTACAGTAAACACTTTAAATATCATTTTTCCTTGATTTAAGGAAAGTTAAAAAAATACTAGATGAAAGCGAGCATACATAGGGATGCTTGAGTTGTTGCAGACTTTTCACTTCGCGTATGATGGATGTCGGTAGACCACCCTCGATCTTTTTAATCAGGATTTTCTTTAATGCTACTTCTTGATCTCGAGATGAGTCGTGCGCTTTCAGGACCAAACCTTGCGCTCCTTCACCGATCTGACCATTGATAATATATTTGTCCATATTCTGTTTTATTCAACAATCTATATTATTAAATTTACGAATAACAAATATTTTTTATTACTCTTGCATAAAAATAGTTACATATATCAATCAGTATAAATACTGTACACAATTAACTAGATAAAATAATTAAAAGTATATTTGTTAAATAATTAAAATATATTATCAATTTTATTTACTATGAATTAATTTATTATTATTAATGATTATTATTGTAAATGTAATAATTAAATACATAATTTTATATAAAATATAATCAATAGAAATTTAATATACTTACTTTTCAAAATTTTTATTAAATATAAATACATGAAAGGAAGATTAACGTGATTATGTGTGTGAACTGAAACATCTTTTATGTAAAAAAAAAATAATTATCGGTGTACGATATGATTATCCTGCAGTGTGGTGTAAGCGTGCTTTACAGTTTCCATAGTTACCATTGTGGTACACTGTAATCTATTATCATACAATCGCTTCACAACGCATGCGCGAGTCTGTCAAAGATATCATATGTTTTATCATATTTCGTGATATGCGTCAAGCAAACTTTGCAGTCAGATGCGCAGTGAAAGTCATTTTTCTTTAATTAACAATCTAGGGCAAGTTGACGATTGTGTGTTCAAATTGTTCAACAGTTTTTTTTCTGTAAACGATACATTTATATATCAAGTTACTTAAGAAAATATTAACTGTCCTTAATCGAGCCAAAACGATATCGTCGAACAACGATGAAGCAACAGATAATTGATTCCAAAGCGAATCCTAGCTCAACCGGGGAAGCAGACGACTGTCTCTTCGAATATTTACACGCCGAGCTGGTCAATTATGTTTTGAGCAGATCGTCTAATGCTGCAGGCACATCTAATGCTGCTTGCTCGTCTAATGCAGTGAGTAATCGATCATGACAAGAATAATCCAGTAAACACCAAGTTACATGTAACGTACCTATTAATTACAATTTCCTACTCAACAATATGACTGTAATCTGACATATTGTGTTATATTGCAGTTATATTGTTGAGTAGGAAACTATAACTAACAGGTACATATAACTTACTTTTAGCTGAGAATAGCCAGTCCTGTTATTTACCACAAAAGAACTCTTACACTTTTTTTATTTTCAATAGGAAGGTGAGGAGGAGCTCTCGCGTTTAGAATGGATGGGCTTCAGCGTCGGATATAGAATTATTGAACGACTGACGAGAGAGTGGAGCAGGTTCAAGGACGAGCTGGACATGATCAAGTTTATCTGCACAGACTTCTGGTCTAGCCTGTATCACAAACAAATCGATAATCTCAGAACTAATCATCACGGAGTATACGTGTTGCAAGATAATGCCTTTAGGTTGCTAGATAAAGTTGGTACGAGCAATAGTAAGCAGTACCTCAAGGAGAGCCCTCGTCTACTGGCTTTTACTTGTGGCCTTCTCCGAGGTAGTTTAGCGAATCTTGGCATTATTAGCACTGTCACAGCAGAAACTACTACGTTACCAAGCTGCAAATTCCACGTTCAAGTTCAAAAGATTTAATAGCCATTCTGAGCGACTCGAGAAATAAGAAGATAGAGAAGTGTAAAAAGGTACATATATAGTAAAATCTCTTATGTGAAATATAAGGAAATATGATTAGATATTCATCGTACCATGTCATACATATTTTTATTGTATTTAGTGGAAAAAATATATTAATGTGTTGCCAGGGATGAAACACTTTCTGATATTCATCTTGTATAATGTTTATATCCATTTGTAAACTATGCTCCGATCCCAAAATATAATGAAAAATAAAGAATATATGTCTACATTTATACAACGATTTTCGTTTCGCATTTTTTTTTATTTTGTTCGTCTGTATTTGCATTTACACTGGTAAATATTCATAAAATTACTACAAAAGTAGAAAGTATGACTTAAATACTTAAAATGTATAAATACCATAAAAGACATTAAGAAACATCACATTAATTTAAAAACATCTAGATAGATGTATAAATTCCATATTAACAATTCATTATGTATCGTGTATAAATAATTTCCAATTTATACGAATATAAGAATATAGTATCAAACACAATATTAAAAAGAAAGAAACTTCCTGACGTAATTAGTCTTAATTATCTGAACATACACAACACAGGTGACAATCTTGATCACATATAATATGGAACAGATTTTATGCTATTATTTCGCGTTGCCATCATCATCCTTAGTGATAAAATCAAAAATTTCGCTTTGACTTACAAGTCCGATTAAAGCATCATGGTCATCTACAACCACGGCGTAAGATTCTTTTTCAAGAATACGCGATACTTTACCGATTGTCGTAGAGGCTGTGACCTTCGTAAACTGTTTAGTCATGATTTTCTCAGCGAAATCAGTTCCATTCACCGTACCGGATATTAAATGAGATAGAAGGGCATCCAATGTGACAACGCCTAGCACTTTTGTTTCCTTCGCATCAGTTACTAACAATTGCTGAATGTGATTAGAGGATTTCAAAAAATCCACAACGTTTTGACATGACATCCCCCTTAATAATATATGCTTCTTTAGTGATAACTTTGATACCGGTAAGTTCCACCACTTTTTATTTGCTTCTGTTGAAGGTTCGGACACCTGAAAGTAAATTGTAACTTAATAAACATTTAATATTTGCAATAAATTTACGATATTCTAGATGTATAATTTATAACTTTACCAAAAAGTCTCTAGCTTCCATCCATTGATCTGACACAAATTTAGTCATGTAATTTCTTATACTGTCCGGTAAGAGAACGACCAAACGTTTATCCGCAGGCAAGTCTTTGGCGACTTTTAACGCCACCGCGAGTGCCGCACCACTGCTACCGCCACACAACAATCCTTCTTCCCTAATTAATTCTCGCGCCGCTTTTAAAGATTCGCGGTCTTCAGTCTTATGCCACTCATCAATCACTTTACGATCTAAAACGGTAGGAATGAAGTCATAACCGATTCCTTCTACTTCGTAGAAACCAACGCTGTTTTCATTCAATTCGGGCGGTTCCGCTAAAATGCTGCCTTTAGGATCTACTCCGATAATTTTTACACTAGGCGACAATTCCTTCAATTTTCGTCCAATTCCGGATATAGTGCCTCCAGTCCCAGCACCAAGTATCACATAATCTATATTGCCGTCGCATTGCTCCCAAATTTCTGTTGCAGTTTGGTCATAGTGCGCCAATGGATTACCAGGATTTGTATACTATATGTAACATTTAATAGTATTTATATCAAATATATAATTCATTAATTTAAGGATGTTTAGGAAAGACATTGAGATAAGGCACCTGATCTAAAACAATACTATTGGGTATTTCCTTTTGCAATTTTTGGGCAACACTGATATGTGCTTCTGGACTGTCCCAAGCAGCCTCAGTCGGTGTTCTAACTATATCTGCACCCAAAGCACGAAGCACATAGACTTTTTCATTAGACATTTTCTCTGGCATCACGATGATGCATTTATAGCCCTTGACCACAGCGGCCATGGCTAGACCGATTCCAGTGTTACCGCTTGTTGGTTCGATGATGGTATATCCCGGTTTTATTAGATTCGATTTTTCTGCATCCGAGATCATTCTCTCCGCTATTCTATCTTTGACAGATCCTCCGGGATTAAAGAATTCACATTTAGCGTCTGTATAACATAGAAAAATTTTCTTATCAGATTTTTCTTATTAAAAAAAATTTCTATTCTATAAAATATAATTAATATAATATCAAATTTGTACTAACACATTTCACATTTGATCCCATGAGCCTTGGGAATTTTATTAAGCCGAATGAGAGGTGTCTGGCCAATTGTACTTAAAATATTTGGCAATATCTTTTTACGATTTGGAAACCTAGAAAATAACGTAAAGATGCTATTATCATATCTGTTATATTAATATCTTACAATAACTATCTAAGTCATGTTTATTTGCATAGTCCACATTACAGTTTATGGCAATATTTATGACAAGTTTTATAATGTTCTCTCCTTGTTTTATGACAATGTAGTAATACATATTTGTGTGGTCTACTGATAAACTTTGATATTTCAAAGCATGCGGTAAAATTTTGCTTCTGTTAAAATTAGCACAAGGCTGTAATGTATATCGTGCAATTGCGAAAAGATGTGTAAATTATATGGACAAAATTCTTTGTAAAGCTTTCAGTTATGACAAACTTACTCCGTTTGTTTCGTATGTGGCGAATTTTCCCCATTCACTTTATATGCACATTTAGATGGTCGGTCTGGCCGTATCAGTTCCATTATATGGCAAGTCTTTTTCTTTGTTTATCAATCAAGTAAAAATTAGCTGTAATAAATTATAATAATATAAAAGATATTTAAAAAATCATTTATTTATATGGTAGATATATACAACACACCACTGAATATAAGCCTTTAGTAAACATAGATCGAAAATTCAACTGTTTCTGAGATATAAACATTTTTTTACGTGTTAGCATCATGAATGACTTTTTAATGGCTTCTATGTGTCTCATAAGATGTTTATCTCAGTGTTTATAAACGATATCCTAAATGTCCCCATTCAATTTCCATAAATACTTCATAACAGAAGATTTCACAGGCAATCAATTATAACTGTGTAATCATCAAATAATATGTAGACCTGCCAGTTGATAACAAATAATTTATTGTCGGTGAAATCTTCTGTTATGAAATATAGGAATAAAATGATGAAATATGAATATAGAAATAAAATGAGAACATTGTAGAAGCCAATAAGTCATCCGTAATGCTAACATAAAAAAAAATGTTTATATCAGCAACGGTCAAGCTTTCGACCTATGTTCATTAAGATTGTTTTATGCAGTATTGTATGTGCTATCTATCATATAAATGTTGAATGACTTTTTTAATACTCTTTATAAATTATATCTCTCAGATATTTAAAAAGTATCTTAAATTTATAAATACATCTTGGATATTTAAATATCTTAAATATTTAAATATAATATTTTGCATATTTAAATGTGCATTTAAATATATCTTAAATACTTTAAAAAATATTTAAACCTTATATGTGTTTTCGCTATTAAGTTTTAAAAATTGGTTAACAACTTAACAGCGAGACATAAACATTAATGTGGCAGTAAATAAGTTACGTCTTTTGCAATTTTTTTTCTTGTTTTTCTTGCACAATTAAATTCAAGTTGAAGAATGTTCTAGAGATAAAACTATAGAAGAAAATGTGATAACTCAGATAACTGAATCTGACGAAAACAGATTTTGCAAAGTCTGTTACAAACTTTGTCGGTAGATATACTTTGTCAGCAGAAATAACGAAATTTGCCACAAACATGATAGCAAATCGACTACGGAAAAAACCCTACAATCGGAGCAAACTCTACCATCTCGTGACTATTTAAATAATATACACAATGATTTTAATTCACTTACCACTATTATCAGCGTTAATTGGTATCGAGATTAATCTATAAAATTAGTATGCCGGTTCTTGCCGCGTACAGAAGCACGCTTTGTCACAGAATGCCAAGCTTGAAGCAAAATACAAATGTGAAATAAAAAGGGAAGCAAATATAAGATTCAAAATGTATCTAGGCTGTACAGTGTATCACAGTCGTGTTGTTAATCACAATGGATCACAGCCTAAACCGGAGTTGGATTGGAGTGCACTGAAAATCGACTCGTACACGTGTTTATATTCTCCTTTATCTCCCGACCTTGAATTCTAAATCACATGATCACGTTCGACAGCTTGAATTTCAAGCGACTTAGTCATTGATAGTCGGTTATGTCGGCACTACCGATTATCCATTCGTAAAATTTACCTACAGCTGTCATTGAATCTTCAAACGTGCTGTTTCCAGCTGTTTTCCGTTGTACTGATTGATGTAACCCGAGGTTACGTTGATAGCACGCGATCATGCCGCCGAAGAAGAACGCCGGTGCCGCGAAGTCCGGCAAGGGAAAATCCTCGGAGGAGAGCAGCAGCGGGAAGACAGAGAAAAAAGGAGGAACTTCGGTGAAGGTGAGGATGCATTTTAACATATTTGGAATTTATTTGATAGCGACGTGTGTGCCACATGTAATCTGTCTTTCAATGATTGGTTACTCCAGTTACAAATGTTGTATACAAATGGACTTTTACTATTGACTGTTGTGTCATTTACTTCATAAAATTATTTCCCTGGACAGGTTAGACATATTTTGTGCGAGAAACAGTCCAAGATATTGGAGGCGTTGGAGAAGTTGAAGGCTGGTCAGAAATTCAATGAGGTTGCGGCAACATACAGCGAGGACAAAGCCAGATCTGGGGTAACACAAAGAATATATTTATATTCTTTTGATATATGAATAATTGGAGAGGAAATGTATTATTACAAATCTTGCATTTTGTTTATTATTTTAAAGGGTGATCTTGGTTGGATGACGCGAGGTTCCATGGTAGGACCTTTCCAAGATGCTGCCTTTGCATTACCAGTTTCTAGCCTGGGGTCTCCGGTTTATACGGATCCACCGGTAAAAACAAAGTTCGGGTATCACATCATAATGGTGGAAGGTAAAAAGTAATCAAAAATAATTGCCAAAACTTTTTTAAACTCTTTTGTGAATACCTTGTCTTGTTACATATCTGAAGGAGTAAATATATATTATATCATTTAGGTACTGATTTTTTAAACATCTGTGATATTTATTGTATTAATAAACATGTTTTGTGTATATCTTGAATTTTTACATGAAGAAAATCAGGGTAATTTAATCCAATCATACTTGCCATAAATTAATACGTATAAAGTAAAATGGTGTTTTTTAATAATAAATAAATTCGTTAAATTATTCATTCATAAATTTATTGCTATCTGAATATATAATTAGTATAATATTTTAGGAATATATAATTTTTTATATAGAGTGAACTAATCTATAAATCTTGAACTACAGTCTCTCTATTAAATATAATTTTCCATGTGTATCTATGATTATATCTAGGAATATAAATAGTGATATTTCCTGAAGTTAACATTCATAAAATTTCCATTAAATAATTCATGTTTTTTGGGCAAATGAGAGTATGGAAATATTAAATACAATAAATAAGATGTTCTATATACTATTCAGTCGCTTCACTGGCGTGTCGTATAGATGCGCTTTTGAACGTTGTAATTTTATAGGTATGCTTAAACCTACTCAAACCAAGATAAAGCTATCATTACTCAGTTTTTTTCCATTATATACGAATATTAGGATTGGTGAAGCGAACATATTTCAGAAGAGACTCGTTATCCTCGCAGACCCATGGTTTCTTATGATGACATGCCACGTCGTGCCAATTCACTCCATCGTTGTAGAATTGATTGAGGATTGCAAGGCAATTTTCAGGAGCGCCGCCCTGAAGAGCCTCACGATTATCAGGTTGCGGTTTGCCGATGCTAAAAATGTACATATTGTCCAAAATAATTCTTGCAAGATGCACACATTATTGTTTTTGTTATTTTGTGTCGTATATATTTGAGGAAGTTGAGTATTAGACCCTGAATATTGATATGCGTGTACATACAGAGATCATTGATTACAGAACAGATAATAACAGGGATTTACACTGAATAGAAAAAGATCTAATCACAACCGTTCGACATCCTTGATCTCAATAATGAAAGTAGCATTTGTACTCTCTTGGCTCATCTTGATATAAGCATTCTAATAGGCGTTATTTTCACATACAAAATTACAAGTTGATATATGCTATAAGAATGCGTTACTGCGAATAAGTCTTACCCGCCACTTTCAGACCAGTCGTTTTGGCTACGATCGTTGGTCGGCGCGAGCTTCTGTAACTCGGCGGTCCAGAACCAGCCGTTGATGTGAAGGGGCTGTAGATCCGGCCGGTCACAACCTTTGAAATCACATAGACGACCGGAGGTCCAGATGTACTTTATGTTGTCTACAAGAGAAATGTTTCATTTCGTCATCCTTTGTTTTTGCTTCCACAAATACAGGCTCAACTTGCAGAATCATGCATACTTTGAACGATGTGGCTCTTGATGAACTCGTTCTCGGCGGAGGTTTCCAACGAAACCAGGTCCATACAACGTTGTCGGCAGAAGTTTCTACCTGACAGCCAATCTACCTCCTGTCCAGTTGTCCTCGGATCGGCCCATGAGAAGTAATAGCCTTTTCCATTGAATCGTCGATGGATGCTTCCTGCGAAAAACCGTAATTAGAAGATGAAGCAAATCAGATAGGCAATAGACAATAGGCCATAATCTTTATGAATATCTTTGAACGCGAGAGTTTACCGGGAAGAGCCAGAGATCTTCCGCTCATTCCCGGAGTGAAAGTTACGAAATTAGTGTCAGTCGTGACGGTGACCTCGGGGACCACAGTCACGACCTAGACATTGGCACCTGTGTAGTATGCTGATTACATCGTCACTTTCTAAACAAAGAAAAAGAAAGTTTTTTATGAGGCGTGTCTTGGAACGCGTGGATAGGCTACGCCTAATGAATGAATAATCGGTTATCTGAATTCCGTGCATACCACATTCTTTTGTCTTAGAAGTCTAAAAGCTCGTCGATGATGTTCCATCAGACAGTTTTGTATTATGATTTAATTTTTCTACCATTAGATTTTTTAATAAGATTTTTTATATGGAGAATAGAGAAAACAAATTCATCTTATTTTAATAAAGATGAAAAATTAAAAATAGATAACTAAGAAAATAATATAATCAAGGCGACTCCATAGGAGTCAACTACGGATTGTTTATATTTATAATACGAGATACAATTTTAATTAAAATTTTAATTAAAGGAGTCTTTCAACTTGTAAGTTGAAATTATTTCATTATCTTTAATAAAAATAGAATATATATATTTAAAAAACAGGAATAATTTAAATAAAACTTAATCTTTTTTTCTGGGATATATTTAATATATTCTTCAAAGTAGGAAACTCGATTGATAAATCCTTTATTACAAATTATCTTGATTAATTGTAAGATTGTCATAAAGATTTCTTATTCTTGATCAAAATCTGGGAATCGGTTCCAAAAGATTTCAAGATATTCTTGGAAAAGAGAAAAATTTGATTGATAAATTGTTTATCTACGAATTATTTTTGTTTACAATATAGCTTACAAGAACCTGGGAACTGGTGTTCCCAAAAGATTTTCCATTCCAAAGCAGATAAGCATGAACGTTTAAACAATGATATATTATCACCACTTCGACCCAATCAAAAACGATGAACATGAAAATGCCAACTGACATTCCGTACTACTTACGACGAGAACATTTCCAATTCAAATGCGTTCGGGTTACACTGCTGTCGGTGTCATCGTCACACTTTCTATAACGAGTGTGAACCCAGAAAGACGCGAGGTGTAAGGCTGGATGGGCACGTATAATTAGCGATGGTGTTAACTAACGATAGTCGTCGATGTAGGAGGACACGTTAGACGGGGATGGCTGAAGAGTCGAGAGTTAAACAATGACCTCGAAGCGGACTGAGGCAGAGTAGGAAGTAAAAAATCAAAGTAGGAGGAGAATTCCGTCATAGGATTATGGGTCACGGCCTTTCTTTAATAACAAATATTGAAAATACTTTCTCTAGTTCGAGGTTTTCTTGGATAAACAGTCAATTGTCGAGGGAAACAGGAATAAGGAAGACTCTCTCCATCGTGGAACTTTAAGCATCGCGGGAATATATTACTTATCTTAGAAGATCAACAAAGGTTCTCTAAATGATGATTTCTACGACCAATCTAGTAGCATAAAATTAATAATGGCAATAGCAATTTCCTCGATCAGCCGAGATAATAACAGCATCGAATTAATTACTTTTAATTTTTAAACTATATATATATATATTTTTTAAACTATATATATATATATTTTTTTTTTAACTAATTTTACACGACATTTTTTTCTTTATTTCTCTCTCTTTCTCATTTCTAAGCAATATAGAAATTTAAAGGCTATACAAAGAATAATTAAAAAATTTTTAATGTTTTTAGAAGTTATTTTCATGTTCTTTAGCTAGATCTTGATTAAAATAATGATACATAAATGTGCGAAAAATAAGCAATATAATTTAATTAGGTATGGCTTATTATTTTGATACACTATCCGATAATTTTATAATTTCTTTTGAATAAAAAAACTGCAAATATGGTCAAAATATTTACATTTTTATGAATTTTATGTTATATAAATGTTTCCGCTATAAAAAAAAACTTGCATTTACTTTTATGCTCCCCTTTTTAATATATTGACATAAATATGGAACTTACTCTGCGCGCAAAGTGCTGGATTCGGTGATTCTAGAATTCGACCGCTGGGTTGTGGTTGAAATTGGGCAGAGGACAACGTCACCAACGCAGCAAGAAGTATGAATGTTATCATTTTTCTTCTTTTTACGTTACGGTCACTAAAGAAATATGAAATTAATGTGCATGAACATAATTTACATGATCTGTTCTAATTTGAAGAAATTTATCTTTAGCCTATTGTGATCATTAGTGCTTTCTTCGTTATCTGTGTGGATTTACATAAATGTCCGAACTTTCATGAAGAAGCAACTCTTAAACCGGTTTCGTGATGCCAATATTATACAGGGTGGTACTTTACGCTCAATCAGCCCTTCTTATGTGACATAAATACTTCAACTAGTGCCAATAAATATTATTTTTCTTGTAAATAATAATATTAAAATATAATATCGATTATACAGAATCCATTCTCAATAATTTTACTGAATGTTAGATATAAATATTGCAATTTTTTAAATATTAATTACATTGATTAAAATTACTTTGTAATAATTTGATCAATTCGTGATAATTTGAAATTTCACATTTTACATTTTACATAGAATGATGTAATCTTGATGCTAACTGTAAATCATCAAAATATAATTTTAACTACATAACATTATTCACATACGTTAAATTAATTTATCTAACACGATCGCCTGCGATCGAGTGCTTTCTTTGTTAAACTTACCTTTTTTTCTTGTAATCGATTGTAATAACTGAGTTGAATGTCTCCACCAAAGAAACGTCAAAAGGACGAATATCCACTATGATGTTGTCTTGCAGACGTTCTGCAAAGAACTGCAATACCTTCTTGACAGGCACCCCTATATATACACAAGGAGGACACGTCGTGTCAGTACTTTTACCACCCGGTGAACAACGTTTTCGAGAGACGGGTCTCGCCCATCACGAAGACTTTAACGCTGTATGTACGTTTCGTGAACCGCTCGTGTTCCCTCCCTTTCTTCCCCTCTTCTGTAAGGAGGACCATGCTTCATGGGCGTGGAGACGTGTTTCCAATGATATTTCAAGTGATGCTCAAAAATTCTTCCGTCCTCGATGCGGAAAAGACTTTTTGTCCAAAAAATACGGAATATTGGAAGAGCTTTGCCTTAAAAAAAAAAAAAAAAAAAAAAAAAAACTTTCCTTCCGTTATTGCCATACAGTGTGCAGCAATCGCGCGGACATGAAAGCGGACAATATACGCGTGATGACATTTGGTTTGTAGAATGTACTAAAAATAAAATGATAGAACAGTTATTGCAACCACGAAGAGATTTAAAACCCAGAACCATTGCAGTGGATCATTTGAATTTGAAATGGTTCTAATTCCGAGTTCTTCGCGCCTTACGATAGTTTCTAAAACACAATCATTCGATGTCCGCTTTCGATTTTCACTTGTTTGCGTATTAATTAAATATGTAAATAATTATTCATATTGAATGTAGTCAATATTTAGTGAATGTGTGCAAAGTTGACGTATACATTGACCATATCATCTGGCCTTAAGGCCGGTGGGCTTGCAATATATCTAATTTTTTTTCATATTTTACTGTGTTGACCCATTTATAACTATAGGTGATTCGTAGATTTTTTCATACCGAATTCTAATCCGTAGCCAAAATTGCTCCATCAGGTTTATGAGATATTTTAATCTAAAAATGCCCGAAATAGGCTTTTTTGGCACTTTTGAATTAGAATATCTCGGAAACTTGATGTGATGGAGCAATTTTGGCTATGGATTTGGTTTTAGCATGTCGACAACCTTCAGGATAACATATATTGCTATTTCTGGGTAAAAAAGAATGTTTTTTTTGTAGGCCTGTGTAATTAATGGTCATTTCTCATTACACATTGGCTGCGTTCAGCAGAGAAAACTAATCTACAGTTAGTACTTAGTGGTTCTTTAATATGATTCTTGCCTTTAGTTCTTCGCAGAATCCAAGTGTATAGGAACCAATTATATTAAAGAATCACTAAGTTTTAATTGATGATATAATTTTTTTCTGCAGCTGAACGCAGTCATACATCCCAGTCCAATAAAAAACAAATTTTAAAGAACATTTTCAAAAGTCGAGAGTCTGAAGATAATAATTTCTCTAAAATAATTCAAGAGAATTTTTTACTGAAACATAATTTTCAGATTTCAAAACAAAATTATCTTTAAAGTTCAATTTTCATAGATTATATGAAAAGTGGAAAGTAAAATCTCTGTTTGCCAATGCTGAGTGAAAGGGGAGTAAAGTATACGAAAGCATAAAAATTGAAATAACGCTGCGTCAAAAGTTCTCGGAAAAAAGCATACATTCCGCAATACTCGCAAATATGCAGAATTGATTAACGGCACGATCATATTTGCATGTTTGTTCAGCAGGGCCGTTTGACTGCGTTTGACATGATGACTTTGCGAGAAAACGTAGACTTTCGCTAACACGCCCGTTGAATTTTAAGCGGTTTGTCCGGACATTTTTATAATACGGGACCGTCAAATAAATGTTAATGCGCGTGATCGGTTTCTGTGAGCTTCATTCTTAGATCCTGAGAATTTTTCATTATGTGAACGTTTAATTTCTGCAAATTCTCACTCTACAAAAATTCAATTAGAGTTAGAATAAAAGCTTAGAATTAATTCTAGTTCAGGTGATAAAATGATATGTTCTCTGAGTATAATCGTAAAAGTAGAAGTCGGACTAATAGTTTTTTTTGAATCATGATCATATTCGAAAACACAGTTTTGAGAAAAACGCGTTTAAAGTTTTGAAATATTTAATAGACTTTGTCCACTGTCGGGGACTCTCGGACCGGACCGAAACCGAAACCAATAACCGGACTGTAACCGTTATTTTATTTAGTACAAGTACCGCTCCGTTTTCCGTTAGAAACGAAAGTGACGCTCAGAAGGGAACGAAACTCTGCTCCATTTCCATCCAGTTTCTATCCATTGGAGCGGTACTTGTACTAAATTTAGTACAAGTACCGCTCCGTTTTTCGTTAGAAATGAAAGTGACGTTCAGAAGGGAACAAAACTCTGTTCCATCGCTCGACATCCAGTTTCGGTTCGGTCCGAGTCCCTGTTAGAAATGACAATGGACAAAGTCGATATACATATATATATGAGTCTGCAGTGACACTTAATTGCTTAATAAATCATTTCAACAGATTTAATATAAAGACAATAAAAAAATTGTATTTATTTTTCATTGAAATAAAAACAAAATTATAAGAACAAAATGAAGGAAAAAAACCGTTTGCCAATTGATTTAATTTCTGTACATATATATTATGTATATATCTCCGTTGTACCATAAATCATTAATCTTCGTGTAATCAATATCTATTGTTTAACTTGCTTTCCATGGGACAACTAAAACATCATCCATGATCCATTCGATCCATTTCAATTCGCAAATGATCTCTACAACTTTTCAAAAGACCATGTTTAATTTTTCAAAGCAATTTTGTTATCACACTCGACATTACTGACTGTCAGTAAATACGGTCACCAACCATATCGACCAGCCGGATGACGTATGCGCGTGCGCGCTCGTAAGTCTAATGTTTTTTTACTCCAAACAAACGCTCCGACGATTGTATATGTTTTCGTGGGACCATTGCGGAGTGTACTGTAGTACATGGACACACACGGCGTTTTACTCATTGCTTCCGGAGACGAGGTGAATAATTGCTGAGTAATTCGGCCGGTCGTTTGATCGATCAGCGGTGTGTCGCGTAGAGGAGCAACAAGTCGCCTGTCTCATCGCCAGCGCGCCCGTGGTCGCGGTACCTTCGTTGCACGAGCGTGGATACAACATGTCCGCTACGACCCGGGTCGGTGTCGTCCCCGGGATCTCGTACTACGCGTGCGGCGCGATACGATGATGCGCGCGCGACGCATACGATCTTAGGGAGTAAACGCGATGCGTCCACGCGCTACGTCGACGACGGCGTACGACGATCTCGCGCACAACGACGACGACGACGGCGACGACTTTGCATACGCACTGTACGACGATGACGGAGCCGGAAATTTGCCGGCTATGCGCCGAGACCAAGGACAGTCTCATCGGGATCTACGACGCCGAAGGTCAGAAGCTCGCGATCGAGGCCAAGATCGCGAAATGCCTGCAGATACAGGTACATGCAGTTACCACGCTCAACCGGCAGCTCTGTTTCCTTGGTGAAAACCGTCTGCCTGATCTAAGAAGACCAAAATGTATTTTATTGAATGTAACTACTGTTACACAGTTTCTCTTTGAATGAAAGAATTTTAAATATTAAGAATAAAAATCTTAAATAATATATTATAATAGGTGCGTTCCGTTTCACGCATAGTGCGCATGATATATCATTTTATCCTTGTTGTTCATCGAATATTAAAGAAAGATAAAATGATACATCGTGCGCATCATGCATGAAACTGAACGTATCCAATATATCCTCTTATTTTGTTATATTTCTGTATCCAAGAAATCTAGGTGTTCTTTAAAATTCATGTATTTATTTAATTCTTGAACAGAAACTGTTTCTTTCCAAAATTTAAAGAATACAGATGTTAGGTCAAACAAACTTCAATTTTATGCATAATTCTTTTATATTAGAAACTTAATAAATTTTGCAAAGATAATGTTTAAATTTATTTAATTAAAATAATAAAACTATAGTTTTTATTTAAGAAATAATTGTAAACTCAATTTCCTTATTTTATAAACTATACTATTTCTAATATATTTTTATTTGTAATAATTATTATGATTGCACAGGTTGTAATAACAGATGGCTTGCCACTTATGGTTTGCATAGACTGCTGTGATTCATTGAACCAGTGCAATGAATTCTTTGAGAAGACTAATCAAGCACAAATATCTCTAAGACAATTGCTATTAGATCCAAAGTCCGAACCACAACCGACTGAACCAAATATAGATTGTGTTGAGGAGACCGTAGAGTTTCCAAAGAACGAGTCCAACAATAGGGAAGAGATTGTCCAGTGTCAATTATCTGGCAATTATATCGATGAGACAGTCAATATCTTGAATAATTCTTACTTCATTGAGGAATGTAATAAAAACGCGAATTCCGAAACTCAAGAGATGCAAGATCACGCAAAACAGAAGAAGTGTAAGATACAGATAAAGAAGAGCTCTCCTAAACAAACTAAGAAAAAATTAAAGAAAAAAGGTCAGATACAAAAGATTGAAGAAGAGTCTGAGCTTGATGTATCTTCTCAAGTAGACAAGGAACAGGATGACGTCGCAAATGAAGTCGTAGATAATTATATGCCTGGTAAGATTAATTTATAAAAAATGTGTTTTTTTATATTATTTGTTTTATTTCTTAAAAGTTGCCATGTATACATAAGTATATGTAATTAATGACTATATCGATCTATCATAAATCTAATATAATATGTACTTTTAAAGTAGAGACAGAATCAAATTTAGAAATAAGAGAAACACGAACGTTAGAGGCAACAAAGCATGGAAGAAAAAAGACAGAAGGTTTGGAGAGATATCCTTGGTTATGTACAGATTGTAATGACAAATTACCATCTCTAGAAGCATTAGAGGAGCATCACGAAATGGTGCATAATCAGCAAGCCAAGTATATGTGTGTGCAATGTTGTAAGGTTTATGATAAATATTATGGATTTCTTACTCATGTTAAAAGGCATAAGAATAAAGCAAAGTTCAGGTAAAAATTATTTGCTGTTATATCAGGATTGTATAAGAACTTTTTACTTATATAATCGTATAATAATATAATTTAATTTATTTTTAGCTGTGACGATTGTGGAAAATCATTTGTACATAAAAAAGTATTAGACTCTCATAAGACAATTCACAGCGAGGAACGGCCATATGTGTGCCAAACTTGCGGTAAAGCTTTTAGGCAGCAAAGTGCTTTATGTATTCATAATCGATGCCATTTGCCTGAACCTATGAAGAATAGATTTCCATGCGACCAATGTGATAAAAGGTATAACCTATTTTTTTTAAATTACACATTTTAGAGAATTTTTATACATTAATAAAAAAGTTTACTTTTTTAGGTTCTCGACCAAACCAAATCTTGTAACACACAAACGTATTCATTCTGGTGTCAGAAACTTCACGTGCGATCAATGTGGTAAGAGCTTCATACAGAAAGGAAATTTAGAAGCTCATTTCCTAACTCATTCACCAGATAAGCCATACAATTGCTCTCAATGTACAAAAGCGTAAGTAAAAATATACGTATTCTTTTTTTCCTTAAGTCTATAGTTAAGTTTAATATATTTAAAGTTTTTTGCAAGTTTGGTATTCTTAAAAATTTTAATATTTTTTTATATACATTTGAATGAAATTTTAGCTGTCTCTTTTATAATTAATATACTTCAGAATAGCATAAAAATATTATCATCATCATCATCATCATTATGATGATGAGATGATAAATCGGTGGAAAAGTTCGAATTGAATCCGGGATCTTGAAATAAGAATATAAACTTCCAGATTTAAAACACCCTTACAATTGAAAAAACATGAAACAGTACATACTGGTGCCAAGCCGCATCAATGTGCTGTATGTGGACGAACTTTTAGAGAGAAAGGAACCTTGAGAGAACATCACAGAATTCATACCGGTGCAATGCCGTTTACCTGTGAATTCTGTGGAAAGTGCTTCCGTTTCAAAGGGATATTAACTGTAAGTTATCATTATGAAATCTAATTACACTTGTTCTACTTAATGCGATTATTTTACATTCGCAGACACATAGGCGACAACACACCGGAGAGCGTCCATACAGTTGTTTGGAGTGTCAGCATCATTTTACGAATTGGCCAAATTATAACAAACACATGAAACGTAGACATGGAATTAATACTTCTCACACTAAGCATCTAACGAATAATCAACAATTGCAACAGCAGCAGTCGACAGAACAAACGCAGACTTCGATACAACAGCAATCTGCTGAAGAGGATCCACTTTCGATACCTCAAACAGAATCAACAACAGTACAAGTAGATATACATTTTTTTATAAGTTCTTATTTGTTAAGTATTGTTTGTTTTATTGCGTCACAATCCTGAATAGGTCAAAGTTTTCAAATTGACTTCATTAAGATAGTAATTTTTATGAGAAAAAGATTATAAGCAGCATCTTATATATTCTCCACTTTGCAGAATTACCGGATTCAAATTTTCTTACAATTTTTTTTAGAAGCTTTTAAATAATGGATATTTAAGTGCCTTTAAAGTTAAGTAGTACATAATTTTATCATTTAGGTGTTAAATTATTAATAACATTCTATTTTATATGTATACATCAATAATAATTAAAGTAATAATAATTGAAAAATATATAAGATAAATCACACTGCATTCAAGATAGACTATATTGAATTGAAAAATGTATGAGAAAGCGCAAATCTTATTGTTTAGATAATTTACAGGTGTTTGATTAACGCAAAGGATCATTTTAATGTTGTATTTTTACAGGTAATACAAGCAGTTCCTCATGCTTCAGCATCACAACCGATAGTCATCCAAGCTATTCCAACAACTGCTATTCAGACTTTCCAAACGGACGTCACTAGTACTGTCCAAGAGACGGTATTCAGAGACCGAAACACATATTTCAATACAGTGCCAGGGTTACAAAACTTTTTGCCAACGAACTTGCCGTATAACTTTTACAGCATTCCTAGTGTTACGGAAAATGATTTAATTCAACATAGGTAAAAGTTAAGATGAAGCTTGAATAAAGACGACTATGTTTTTGTGCCGATTGATTAAAATTGAAAAAAACATGCGACACTAACGTATTAAATTTTATATATAATATAAAATTTATAAATTCCTAAATTTGTTTACGGTCTAAGAATAAGATTCTTATTGTTTAGACATGCAAACAGAAAAGTCCATAATTATTTAAATAATTATTTCATAATTTAAATAATTAGTTTGCATGTAATCCTCACAGAATCTAAAAGCTCAAAGATTGGCACAAAAACATGGGAACTAGTTAAATGCATAAGTACATAAATAGTATCAGCCTTTTGTATAGAATCAGACAAAATAATTATATACGTTTTATATTGTACCATTATTAGTACTGATAATACTAGATCATTGTATATATATATATATATATATATATACACTTGTTTAATCACATTAATTATCAAATACACTTGGTGAACATTTCGTAAAAATTTTTGTAATAAAAAATGTATATTGTATCTCCCCAACTCATGTATACTACAAACGTTTGTGATATCATTATGATTTTTTACTATATCTAAAATTTTGTTTCCAAGTTTTACCTAATTTATGCATTATGCAATACTGGTATAAACATTTTCCATTACTTATTAAAACAATTATTGAATCTTGCTCCTCTTTGCTCGATAACTAGACAGTGGAAGGTTTCCTGTCAGGATTCAAAGATCACGTGTAGAATTAATGCTAGATATCGAGAGGAAGGGAGACTCGTATCGTTCAATACCGTATCTACATGACTACATGTCGAAATCTGATTGCACAAGCATAAGTATTAACGTATGCTTTTTTATCACGGAGCGGAACCGTTAGTTTGAAACATCACGTCATTGGTAACGTGCGTTTTCGGGCGAGCTGCTATTTTTGTCGAATAATAATTCAAATCGTATTTCTCGAAATACAGAAGAGATCCTTGTAAGAATTCCGGCGGATTATACCGTAGATAACCTAAGAGAATCAGTGGTTAGAATGGATTTTCATGATGTCACTCACTGCATTTTCGACATGGATGGTTTATTATTAGGTAAGGACATTTTGGATTGTTTTAAATAATATTTGCGCAATTTTATATTCTATAACGATTTCTATATTCATTGAAATTTCACCGTATCATTGTGCTACTGTGCAATATGATGACATATTTTTTGTAACATCAATTCCTTTTGGCGCTCATAACATTGAGATATTTGCAGAAATGCATTTTTTTAAATAATTTATATTAATTTATTTAATTTTCTTTATAACGTGTAGATACAGAATCCATATATACAATGGCGTACAACCGTGTCACTCAGGAATATGGGAAAACGTATGGCTGGGAGCACAAAGCGAAGATTATGGGTAATAAAACTGCTGAAGCTCTGCAGACTTTAATAGAAATGTTACAGCTTCCGATTACAGTGCAATCATTTGAAGATAAGCTCGTTCCTATATGCAAAGAAGAATTTCTTCAATGTAATCTTATGCCAGGTAAATTATACAAGATGAAAGTGATTTAGCATTGTATTCTGATTGATTTTAATTGTATGTAGGTGCAGAAAGGTTGTTGCAGCATCTTAAAAAGAATAATATACCTATCGCACTAGCTACAAGTTCAAGCGAGGAGAGTAGCGATTTAAAAACTCAAAAATGGAAACACTTATTCGATCTGTTCAACCATAAAGTGTATGGTGGTTCTGACCCAGAAGTCACCCGAGGAAAACCACATCCAGATATATTCTTGATTGCCGCAAAACGTTTCCCTGATAATCCTGATCCTTTAAAGGTTTGTTGTATACTTCAATACATATTTTATATATACATTTTTAAATCAAAATTCAAATCATATTTATTTATCTGTATATAGTGCCTAGTCTTTGAAGATTCACCGAATGGAGTACAGGCTGGTATCGCTGCGAAGATGCAAGTGGTAATGGTGCCAGATCCTCAGCTTCCTAAACACCTCACCAACAACGCAACGTTGGTCTTACAAAATTTGGAAGACTTCAAGCCAGAAGACTTCGGCCTACCGCCATTTATAGCATAAAAATATAATTAAACCATTTACCTTCCTATATACAAAGGAAGTATAGATTGCAAAAGAGAATATTAGAACATATTAGATCCTTATAAATGAAGCAAATAATTGTTAGCGAAAATCAGAAAAAGCCTGCAGGCAGGTTTTAATTATTAATTAGCATTAATAAAATCTGACTGATGTACATAGATCTGATTTGAAAAAAGAAAAGATGACATTATGTTCTGCAGATATATATTTTCATATAATATATGAAAGTTATCACTGCCTGAAATCGGAAACGTATATGACTGCACATATCACATACAAAAGATAATTCTTCATTCCCTCCCATATGTTTATTAATAGAATTCCAATTATATATAAGTTTGTCGTGCCATATATTTATTAATAGTATGAAGTTCTAATCATAGATATATTTATGTATTGATTATATTTACTGAACTCTTAACCGACCAAAAAGTATTAACTAATCGGGCAGTTTGGGTCCAGAGACTTATTTTTCAGACAAAATTTAAAATAAAATACAAAGTTTAATATCGTAAAATGATAATAAAAGTTATGCTTAGCAAAGTTCGTCCAATCGGTCAAAAACTTAACACCGCAACATTAAAAAAAAAAACAATTTCATAAAAATGCTTTCGATTTTTGAACTCTTCCTTATCCTTAAGTCTTAAAGTGTAGAGAATATTGCACATATTCTACAAAATATTAGTTGTTTAATCATTTAATGTATAAAAATTATATACACAAAAAAAAAGTAAATATTTTGTTGTGAGAAGATAATTCATTGTGCAATTTTTCTTCAATAAATAAATTTTTAATTAATTAAATCTTTTATCAATAAATCTTTAATAAGTTAGTTTATATCTTTATGTTCAATCCAAGTTCTTTCATATACATATATTAATGTGCAGTATATATATTGATAAAAAAATTGCTATCCAACAAGATGTGATAGATTCCTGTCAATGCCTTCTCTCTTTCATTTGATACAACTATTTTATTAAAACACTATACATATTATAATATACATACAAGATTAACACAATAAAATATATCTATTTTTGAGATGCCAATTCTTGAACCCTTCCAAGTATCTCTTCGGACTTCAGATTTGATAGAGGCACGCAACGTTCTATGCCATATTCTGCAAAATTTACAAGGATTATGATTATATAATTTACGAGAATTAAAGCTGCATTCCGTTATTTACTGCAAGTATCGAAAATTTATAGTATACATAATGTAAATTATGGATTTTCAGTATATGGAACAAATAATAGAACTAGCCTAGATAAATAATATTTATATTGGAAAGAAGAAAAACAAACGTAAACAATTTGTAAATCAATTTGATATTAGATGCTTTCTATTCAGGAGACATAGTCATTCTAGTTTTATTATTCACAGAATGCCAAGGATAGAAAGCCTTTCTTGTCGACTATGGGTGCTTTCCATTTGACACAAGTGTTGTTCAATGTCACTCTCTGAATGTCAAAAAGGACAGAACGACGCTTGTGTTGACTTGTGTCATCAAATGGAAAGCATCCTTGTTTCCTAAAGAAACATAACCACTGATATTGTGTCTTTAGATTTTTACATACCGTAACGTGCATACAGCTTCGGCTCAATCGACGAGCACTCCCTGATTAAAACGGGAAATCTTGGATTATTTTTCTTTAATGGTACATATTGTTGCTCGATGAAGTCTCTGCAAAGTTCACACACAAAAATTAAAAGACTGAAATTAAATTGGATCGTTGACAGAACGTCGTCTATGTTGTACAACTTTTTTACCTAACGCCTTGACTAGATTTGGACGTTTGACAGAGGAGGATCCTCAACTCTTTTAAGTGCTTTCCGAATTTCACAGTAGCCATTTTTTATAGCTAAGAACTTGGAAAAATACAAATCACTTTCATTACAATTTCAATCATACACAATTTTGTATTTTAGGTTAAGTTAGGTTAGAATTCCGTTATTATATCATCTGATTCACTAGAAAGTCTAGAGACTTTTATGCGGGGTCTACAATAGAAGTCGTAGCGATCGTAGGGTCTTAAGTCGTAGAAAATTGACCAATCATATAGCGTTTTCGGCCC